AGAGAGCTTCAGCAGCCATGACGACAACAGCGACGAGAACGTCTAAAATCAATTGGCTTTATGAGCAAAACAACAGCTCTGCACGTGCATCACACTTTTTAGTACATTTCTTTGAATGCTTCACTGTTCGACTACGACGTGAAACCTCCCAATGCGACGTCTTATGGATGACATAAATACACGACGACAAGTTTTTCTTTCTCTTTTTGAACCTGGGTAAAGTCCTTAAGAATTCAACTCCAGGAAACATCGCTTACATTTGACAAATTGGACGGGTCCAAAAAGAGGCGACAAGTTTGAAAGAAAGCAAAATCATTTTTAGCGATGTTTTTACCGTCGTCGTCGTTGCTTAAGCTCACTATTTATCACACAAATGCGTCAAATTTTTGAGAACAGTAAAATGACAAAACTATTGCAGTGCAGTTTTCAACTTGGATAACCGACTAACTATAACTTTTTCAGCAGGATGAAAGCAACGAACAGTTAAACCGAGGAGGATCCGTGAAACTCAAACCTTTCGCAAGCCCTCCAAGCAACGAGAGTAGCGCCAGCACATCCGGGGGACACATTGAACAAATTTTCACAACCATAGGAAACTACCAAGTAAGAAATATAGCTACACTGACGCTGAGCTTAAGCGCGAATGCTTGTATTTACCTTGAGTGTGATATCACAAAGTTGAATCGCCACTAATCAAGCAAGCGGAACCAAGAGAAGTCCAGCTGAATTGGGGATCCTAGATTCTCTGTTCTCAGCTGTCTGTTAATATTCGCCTTTTTAGAAACAAGAAGAAATCTGGAGCAGAAATGCGTCCCGCAGTTGTTCCTGGGATCACTCTGGGGACGCGCCAATCAGCTATTGGCCAATTTTTTTCCTTGTCCCTAGTGACAGTCTCAGAAAACTTTGCGAAAGTTAACTCGGGCCACCTTATCGGTTCGAAAGTGGCGAAAAAGTTCCATTTTTTAATTCTAGATACTAGCTGAAAATAACGGTCACAGCGTCACACGAGGCAGGTGTTGTTATGAGAGTGTTATGGCCTCTTAGAATAGACAAAATAGGTGGTCAAACAGCGCATCTTATATGTCTATGAAGTTCCAATACATTTTTCCTGCCCATCAGTCCGAAAAAAGCAGCTAAATCGTAAGAAAACAACAGTGTATTAAAGGAAAGTTTAATAAACCATCTCAGCTGACAGTTAGAATGCTGGCCACCTAATACTACTGAAACAATACAGATCCTCTGTGTTTACTTTTTGAGTTACGAAAATTCATCAGTGCTAATAATATCACCGCATTAAAGATCAGGTAGTGTTCACTGTACTTAGCGTGTTAGGAGTCATGAACATGTATGTCTCGTGTAACCCAGTTTTGGCTTACGCCTCCTCCTGCTGATGTGCTTTAGGGTCGAACTGTGGCGATCAAAAGACTGAACAAGAGAAGTGTTCATCTCACTAGAGAAGTTCTTATTCAACTCAAACAGGTGATATCAACTTTTCTTACTTTCTATTCTTATTGCATCAGCGTGTCTTTAATTATTTGAATATTCACAACCCAGAGAAAAACAGACTAAAGATATGCGAAAATGAACCTATGTTGCATCGGTATTCATCGCACGATGACACCGTCTTTCTTCAAGAAAAAATTTAAAAATACTTTTCAATGTTGTTTTCATCTAAGTGGTGAAACAATTAGTTATAGTTTTGTTTTTGGATAGTTTTGGATGGTATACTTCTGTTGTAATTGACTAAATTAGCCAGAGTTTGGATTGGGTTTTTGTCATTTGTATCGGAGGTTTCTTTCTCTATTACAGGTGCGAGACATCACACATGAAAACCTGAACCCGTTTATCGGAGCCTGCATCGAGTCACCCAACATCATGTTGGTTTGGTCGTACTGCAAAAAAGGAAGTTTGCAGGTAGCGTGTTTCACTTCTTCCCTTCGATTTTATTTCAAACGTCTAGATCCTTTCACGGTTTTTTGATTGGAACCAGTCAGCGAAAATCCGTCATCACAACAGGAGAGAACACCTTAAGATCAGCAAAGTTGCCGAAGATTGAAAGAGATTTGTTGAAAACTAACTAAGATATAGCTTTGCAAAATCTCTAACGTTTAGAGACGTTTGTATGGTGGTGCAAAGTCTTAGATGTGAAATTAGTTGGTTTTTCCCACTCAAATAAAATTGATTTTCATATGAAAGATTTTGCACTTGGCCTCATTTCCAAAGCGAGGGTTTTTGAAACTGAGAAATGGCTGCCACGTACCCAGACGTCTCTCTCGCGATGCGTGCAAAGAAAGGCGGGAAGGAGAAAACGGGCTTCGCCTTTCGTTTTTCAGCTTTCCTTGATCCCCTGCGCTTCGTCACCAGTCACTCGCGTGTCACTCGCGTTTCGCGCTCTCCTCTTCTGTGCAAAAACGAAACACCTGAGAAGGAAGCTGGAGACACCCGACATTTCGCCACTCTACTGGTGGTTTCCCCACGAAATGACGTCTGAGAAACGAGCGCAGAACTCCATACTGAAAACGCGTCACTAACCAGATTTGGGTAGCGCTTCTGATTAATTAGAAATTTGTTTCAACCAATCAGAAGTACTGCTGTGCTGTATTCTAACAACCAGCGTTTCTTCATTAGGATGTCCTGGCAAACGATGAATACAAAATCGATTACGGATTCAAACTGTCAATGGCAATTGACATAGCTGCGGTAATCAAAGTTAATTAATAACTCTTACTACAATAAAGCATGGCTACATGGCATCTACGATCAGCAGGTGCATTTTATACTTGAAAGCAAAAAGTGCTGAGCTATCTTCTCTTTAAAAGTAATTGGCAGCTTTGTCTATGCTCTCTATCATAATTTGGGAAGTAAGAGGACCCTCTCTGAGTCTTGGGCTTACCCGTACCCTAAAGTATCCATGGAAAAAAGGCTGTTAGATGTTAGATGTTAGCACACAATTTTTCAAAACTTATTTCGATAGAAGTGCTCGATGCATCTAGCGCTGTTGGTAATAGTCTGCAAGAAAATCTAGAGAACTATTAAACACCTAAATTTTCGTTGGTCAAGAGTCCCTACACATGATCCACCGACAGATCGTCTAATCGCTTCATATAAACCAATGTGAAATGTCAGACTTACCCATACATACGAAGTTGTTGTATATTAGCGAGAATGCGACGTTATCGTTCAATATTGCAGTGATCTGTCCATAAGTTTATTAACAGCAGTTAAAATCTTGAAATGTTTTATCCGGGTAACTATTAGCAAACAAGTGTATCAAGTATGAAAAGGCACATGAAATGAAAATCCCACTTTTCAACAGATGTACGTGTTTCAAGTTGATGACTGAAAAGTTTCTTTTTCATTCTAGGGAATGAAGTACCTTCACAACACTGCTGTCAGGTTCCATGGAAACCTGACGTCATCTCGGTGTGTAATTGACAGTCATTGGGTTGTGAAGATCACCGACTGGGGTTTGCACGCCTTCAAAACTGGACAAGAAAAAGTCAATGTAAACCCAAAGAAGGTTTATACAGGTACATTTTCAGGAAAAAAGACTTAAGGTGACTTCCCCGAAAACAAAAGAGTGGGAACAATTTTGCTTTTGTTTACCTACATTGTACCACTTTCAGTGAGGTCCTTTACGAGTAAAACATTGCGTGACCTGTAACTGGAAGGTATCATGACAGCAAAGATAGAGGTAGAAGATAGCTTGTGTACAGCCGTCCCCCCTACTCAGGAAAAAAATAGGAAAAATCTGCCCCTCTCCCGGTGATTTTTTTTCCTGAGGGGAGGGAAAGGCTGTACATAGGCTAACGTACAAGAAACTAATGTGTAAAGCCTGCAAAGCTTGTAAGGATCGATGGAAAGTATTGGCTTCATCCAGGTCACTAACTTTGTTGGGCTGTCTTTACCACGCTAATATGGCTAAGTGTTACAAATGTAATTTCTAAAAAATTATGCGCTTTATCTTAAACTTAAACAGATCTTCTGTGGACTGCACCAGAACATATCAATATAGCCAAAGTTGAGCGAGAGGGTTTTTCTCAGAAAGCTGACGTGTACAGCTATGGAATACTGTTGCAGGAGATGGCTACTCGTTCAGAGCCGTTCAGCGGATGTCAGCTAGAACCCAAAGGTTGGAGGGTTAAATCAAGCTCGCAGGCGGGCAGCTGAGTCGTCCCCAGTCGTCTCTCTCTGTCTCTCCTTAGTGGCGCCAGGGGTGTGATGAGAAGGAGGAAAGCGAGGGAGAGAGAAGTCCTTCCTTTTCCCTTCCCATCACCTCCTGCTACCGCCGCGCGCGTTACGCGAAGACGACTGAAGACGAGTCAGGGCGGGCGGGTTTATTTTGCGAATGTCGCTGACGGATCTCTGTCATTTGCAACCACTCTGTCAGGAGAGCGACACACTAAAAAACTCTCAGCTTTGAGCCAGGTTTTGATTACGTGCTGTACAAAGTTGTTATCAAACCAGAACGAAGCCGCCCCGTCCCTCACTCCCCAATAAATGTTCCTTTGTCCTAGAAAACAGTGGTACGATTCTAACTCAAAGTCAAATCTCAGCCTCGTAGTCACGAATCTTAAGGTCCCTATTATATGCTCAGACCACCACTCTACACAAAGTAACGTTGTAATATTTCTTTTACATAGAAATCATTCACAGGGTGGTTATGCATGAAGACCCGCCATTTCGCCCCAACATTCCTTGCATTGAGATAAAGCCAGAGTATATTGATCTGATGGTGGATTGCTGGAATGATGACCCAGAGGAACGACCACATTTTTATCGAATTGTGGAGAGGCTCAAGAAAATCAGCGGCAGGTACAATTTCAGTCTTATCGTATTTGAAGCACATAATGATGTTTGATAGAGATCTGGGTTTGCTTCTCCATAAGTTGAAATATTTGATTGGATCCTGTAAAGTAAATATCGCCATCGAGCCCTGGCACCGAATTAACACATGAAAAGAGTTATCAGCTGCAAGACAAGTCAGCGTTGGCTATGCACGATTACGAGCCTATAGCCTGGGAGCAAGGACTTTCATGTATCCGCGTAATGGTGCACGTGTTTTCACAAATTAGTTCCTTTTTAGAACGATTTTTGCTTGAATAAATAGTATATCTTGTAAGTCCCACAAACCAGTCATTAAAACCCTCAGACCTGAAAATGGTAGTTTTGAACTTTTAATGACGTTTAGGTTTCTTTTTTCATCTTACTCTTCCAACGCGCGCATAGACGAGGCGGAGCGTTTATTTGCACTGGAAAAAGTGCCACAAAGTGTTTCTAAGACAACACCAGTCCATGAAAACGCCGTGACATGGGCCTTTTATGGACGTTGCTCACCCCGGTTTAAGAACTGTAGGCATTATTATGTGTTCCCCTCATACCGATCGAGTAAGGAGCCAAACCAAATAGAAAAAGAGAAAAAAAGAAGAAAAAGGTGCAAGTTTTACTCTCTTGAACCAGTTACTGAATTACGGAGGGACCAGAGAGGTGAGACCGAACTTCAGCACGTATGGGGCCTGTGCATTCCTTTATAGGCTAGGTAGCCTCGCAGCTGTCAGCCAAAAACCCAGTAACTACTTGTCAGGTCGGAATTCGTAGGTTTAACCTAATACTAAATGGAAATAATTTATGGTTCTTTTCTTCTTGTTTTTTAGGGGATCAAACATCATCGAGAACATGGTTACTATGATGGAGAAACATGCTAATCATCTTGAACAGCTGGTAGAAGAAAGGACCAGGCAGTTGAACGAGGAGAAAGAAAAGACCGAGAAAATCCTCTGCCGATTACTGCCACCGTAAGTATTAAACTTACTGAACCCCTCGTTACGGTCTCCTCTATGATAGGAACCTTTAGATTCGAGGACGAGGACGACTACTTGTACAGGGCCGAGACTTTTTCAATACTAAGTAGTGCACGCACGTGAACCAGCGTCATTTTGGCGGGAATACGTGATAGTCGTTGTCTTTTATATTACCCTAAATTTAGCGAGAATTTCGCGGTGCCGACACAAGTGATATGGCTTTTGCGATAGGAGCAAGATCTCCGAACCAAAAAAAAAAACATATTTACAAGGAAAAATAATTAAACACGCGTTGATTCTACATTCCGGAGAAATGAATAAATTTTTTTATATCAGTTCTACACTTAATCAAGACAAAATGAGCCTCTTTTGACTTCATACATCTCTTTCTCCATATGAAATATTTATCATCGGCTCCCCATCACAGCTGTACTCTTAGTCTCCAAAATACCAAACTACTTATACATACAATCCCTACCTTTATAAATATAGCAAAAACGTCGTTTTGTTTCTTTGCGGCACCTTAAAAAAAGTTTTTATGGTAAATCCCTTATTAAGGCGAGACCGTTGTTTAATTTCAGTTTGGTACTAGAACAGTTGAAAAGCCATAATTCCGTGCAGGCTGAAGAGTTTGAAGAAGTCACCATATTTTTCAGCGACATCGTTGGCTTTACGAAACTAGCTTCTGTCAGCACACCATTGCAGGTAACTACTTTAAAGAACAAACTACAATCATGGAAAAAAGCTAGTCTCGGGACAAATTTGTAAACACTTGCCTAACCTCTTTCCCCCCCAAAAAAACAACGTTGGAAGAGTGTATTAAGAATTTTCCCGCGTTTCAACATGGTATAGGGTTGGTGGAGGGAGGACTGCAAGACATTTTTGATAACGTTGCTCGCACTGTTTTATGAGAGCAACCAAGTTACAGTCTGAGTTATGAATACTGCATCACTGTCCCAAGAACTTTGTTCAACATTTTGTAGACCCTAAAACTTGAATTGGTCATATCTAATAGAGACTGATGTCCACATAGAGGTTGATATTTGGGGAACATTTCTGTAGTTATCATTACAAAAAATTTAAGATTTCCTCTTTTTGAGAGGGGACCACCTTTGTCACACACCACTGAATTATTCGAGCAGGCTAAATGCTTAACAGCGGAATGCTTTGCCCTCCATTATCTAAAGATCCAGAGTGTGGATCCAGCCAGAATTTGTCCCCACAAACTACAACTCGGCATAGCTGCGTTTTATCTGAATGTAGACTTTTTAAGGCTTCAATTCCTTTTTCTTCTGTTCTCCTGGCAGTTTATTCACTTAATTAATGGAGAAATTTAGAATCACGTTTACGGGGAATGGAAAACGTCAATTCGTACCACGTGACCAAGTTTTCCCGTAACTTTTCGTCCATTTTCTTATATCACAAATAAATACAGTTTCATGTCAGGTTTATCCATGAGACTTTGCAAAGTTTTTAACTGTTTATTTCGTTTTTCAATTGAGAAATCGTCAACTTGAATCTTACGTTTGTCGTTTGCCGTAAACTATTCTAAATCTCTCCATTGTCTCACTTTGCAGATTGTGGACTTTTTAAACGATTTATACGTGGCCTTCGATGAGATCATTTGCCGTTTCGATGTTTACAAGGTACCGGAGAACTAATGCTCGATTCTAGCTGAATAAAGAAAGAAAGACGCCGTTTTTAACTGGAAATCATAGTGACCTGTCTTCCTGGCATCATCAGCCTAAGTAGATTATTTCTTGCCTCGTCCCTAGGCCCCATTATACCGCGCGGCCAATTTGTCTCGAATCGCTCGTTCGCCTCGGATACGTCACCGAAGTGAATAGACCGAAAAGGCCTGGGAAAACGCCGTACAGGGACTAGGCAAGGTTATTTTCTGTTCTCATCTATCAGTGTCTTTAGCAAAGGGCCTGAACTCCTAGCTCAGATACAGTAATCATTCACAGCCAAATGAAAGCGGAAGTCTCTTCTCATTATCATGATCACAATCTTCCTTTCTTGATTGGAGCCTTTTAAAAAAATTATTTTAAAAGGAAAAAAAATCTTATTATTGAAATCCGAATTCTGTTTTTCCCTGTGAACCTCGGCTCCGCAGGTTAGCGTCCCTTTTCGTTTTTGGAAGATCAATAGATGGGTCATTTACCACGTCGACGCATATCATAGCCGGATCCAATCACTAAGTTGCGTATTGCCGAGGCCTCTGAACAGTCATCAAATTTCGTTAAACACGTAACGAAAACTGAGTATCTTTCCAGTGTCACACCCAGTCTCAACCAACTAATCAAACTTCCCCATGTGTGTACTTCTTCTCTCCTTCCCAAATGTTGCGACTCTCGTTGTTTTATACTTGAGTCAATATTCTCGGCTAGGTGGCTTTCACGGAGCTTGTAAAATCTTAATTCAGAGCCGAGTTTGAGTAAAGCCAATAATCGTTTAAAATTTTTTATCAGGTGGAGACGGTTGGCGATGCGTACGTAGTTGTCAGCGGCTGCCCCATGTTGAATGGTATCAAGCATGCGGGTGAGATAGCAAGTATGGCTCTGGAGCTCCTTAGTCACATGGCGGTGTTTCGTGTACGTCATCTGCCAGAACATCAACTGCAGCTGCGTATTGGCATACACACGGGTAAGTAACCTCGTCCCAAACTCCTCTCTTTTCATTTCGACCCCGGCAAATACTAATATGAGCCTCTATGGTGTGAGTCATGAGATTAGGAGAAAACTTTTCCTCACTTATGTAGAAAACTATCAAATCCTTATTTTGTTTAACTGAATTTTTTACCAGCCAGACTTTGGCGGAGAATACTGCTGACTATAGTGACTAAGGTGACTAAGGTGAAGATCATCATTCATACATTGCTTGTATAAAATAGTGTCCAAATTTTTGGTTTGGCCCTTATTCTAGATGAACTAGATTCTGATCTTCCTTCTTGTTAAAGGACTCGTTTAGTTATTGTTTTGAAAGCAACTGATAATCAATATTTTCCTAAACTACAAGAAAAGGAAACAGAACGTATTATAAATCCCAGCCTAGTCTATAAGACGCGGCTCTGAGAACGTATGCTATTTCGTTTGATTCCACTCTGTACCAAGAGTACCCCATGTGGCCCTAATAACGAACAATGATTTATTAATCTGGGATATCGCTGTCCTTTGCTATATTGTGATTGCAGGCCCAGTGGTGGCAGCGGTTGTCGGTGTGACAATGCCACGCTTCTGTCTTTACGGTCATACTGTTAACATCGCTTCCAAATTGGAGAGCACCAGCATGCGTAAGTACTGCTTGCAACAGAAACTCTATGATATTGAAGATTTATAGCAAGCGTTAGAGAAAGTGTAGAGCTTAGCTCCGGGCGCTCCATATTCGGCCATAGAAGTGGTCTTGAGGTGAATTGATTTAGCGTTGAAAGGAAGAAATTGGTGCAAAAATTCTCGGCTAATCACAAAACGCAACAATCATGAAAAACCAAATAAATGATCCAAGAAATCAACAACATGAGCTGAATTTTTATCATCCTACTTTCAATTAAAAACGCTTTGATTTCTATTCTCAATTTTTTCTCCTTCTGAGAAACTCTTAACTCAAAGGAAATTATCGTCAACAAAAACGTCTCTTTTCAGAATTTTTTTTAACGCGCGAGATCCCTTTTTTAGATTTCTACTGTAGCCAGCAATATTCCATGTTCTTTTACTTTTTCTCCTGTAGCTTTGAGAATTCACGTCAGTAATGAATCGCATGCAAGGTTGGTCGAACTTGGAGGGTTTTACTTCGAGGAAAGAGGACAGGTTCAAATCAAGGTAACATTGAGGGTTGGTCTTTTTTAACCCTTTCTAGGCCTTGCGATCACTAGCTAGACATGAATGTCGTTATTAGCTAATCATTTTTACTCAATTTCCCTCTTCTAGTGTTAGTGAAAGCACAGAGGTTTAAGGCTACCAAAATATAAATTAAAGTTTCAAGGAGTTTTCAAAGACATATTTACACCCTTCAAGCAGGTTTAATTTCCGATAACTTATCGAAACTTTATTGTAACAATGGAAATAATGATGACCTGCTAAAATTAGCTTTATGTTTTGTTTTGTTTCCTGACAGAGGCAGGGCCTGGTGACTACTTACTGGTTGGTTGGCAAGGAAGGTTTTGACAAAGTCTTACCTGACCCACCACTGGACGGTGGTGAATTGACCATGTTTGAAACATTGGATGTTTATTATGCCAGCTAAACTACTAACGCTAATAGAGAATCAACCTAGTACTGAGGCTTTCTTTGCTCGTTTAGGCCTAGATTCTACCTGAAGTGACGACTTTATGGCGCAAAACTAACAGAGGAAGCTTTGTTTCTAGGTTGTGATGAATCAAAACTGGAATGTCTACATGTAAATAAAAAAAGTAACGGAAATAAAAAAAGAAAAAGAAAAAAATGTAAACAAACTTGCCATGTTTCATTGAAATAGTATAGACCTTTAGATTCTATAAGACGAGGACAGGAACGAAATTTCCTCAATATTATTTAAGTATAGCGGGCGCACGTGGACCGCGTCATTTTGGCGGGAAAACGTGATAGCCTTCTATTACAGATTTTAGCGAGAATTTCGTACAGAAACAATGAAGTTAACAACGGTTAGAGGCTTTATCACTATGCGATCGGGAGGGGGATAAACCTCCTTCAATAAAAGCACAATGAAGCTTTCCGAGATGAATATTTTTTGAGAATACGCGAAAAAATTCTAAATTAAATCTCGTCCTCGTCTCCCTATTCATTGACAGACTGAGTCGAGGTCCATTTATCTGTCAAAAACGGGTTTCGGTTGAATCAGGAATCACATTGACCAAGAAAATTTAGACCACTAGCTAGTTCTTTAACAGTAAAGATTTCAATTAATTGGTTGAAATCTTAGAAGAGCCAACACTCAATTTTCTGATAAATTTTAAACCAAAATACACCAATTGAATTACTTAGGTGTGTGTTGTCTTTACTGAAATATAGTTGGCAGCCTTTGTTGTTGCAGCGGTTACCGTTGTTACTCTATCGGGTTACCCACCAACGACTCAGTCATATTCTTCTTAAACTATAGGTTAAATAGGAGTTTGCCAAGCAACACGACTTCGCGGTCATTGCTTAGCTGTTTAAAAGCCTACCGAGAAGCAAATTCATGGCTAGCGGTCAGCTAGGACTCGCGGATTGCACGTCCAGTGCTCCGTTGCTTAGCTACTTTGCATCTGTGTCGTCATGCATCATCACTGACCATAAGAGCGCGCTCTCCAGGGCACTCTGGCGGTGGGGTGGGAAAAGGAAGGGGACCTTGCAATTACGTCTCTGGAATTTGAATTCCACCTCCAATTCCCTTGTGGCTCCCCATCAACTGAGCAGTCAGATTTCCACCAATCAGCGCGAAGTGGAAAAGAACGCGAATGTAAACAAACATTAAAAAACACAAGCCAAAGACTTCACTACTAATGTCATCTCTGCCAATTGCATCGACTTTCTTGATGCAAATATTCAAATTCCAGAGCCCTAGTTGCAAGCTCTCCTTCCTTTTCCCACCCGCCATCAGAACGCCCTGGACAACTTGCTTGCAGGCTATTCATATCAATGATCTTCACACTTGGAAACACGACCTTCATACCACTTGTGACTCATTAGTTTTAACATTCAGCGATTACTTTCATAAAAAAACTTGTGCAACCTATAAAAATATTCCCAAGAATGCCTAAACATGCCAAAGATGCACACAATAGGTTATAAGTGTAAAACTGACCTCAAAAGTTTTTAGATTGAATGTTGATACTCCCTAAATTGTATCAAAACTCTCCCCCAGTTTGAAATCATTCTGAAGTAAAGGCCCCCTTCTTTATTTCTGTCACCAGACAGATTTGTGACTGGAATTTCATGTAGTGAGAAAACAGCACAGAAAATGTGACAGTATAACAATAATTTGCTCTCTTATTAAATTATAATACTTTTCTAATCCAGGAGTCTTGATAGGAATTATTACTCTTGTCCCAGCCACTAGAAAGTGCTTATGATGAAGCCTTTTTACCTGTTATTCTGTCTGTTTTTAATTCACCTTTCTAATTTCATAATAGTAAAAATGAGAGCAACTAAAAAAACTGTTATACAGCATGCAATGGAAGTTGAGTATGATAACCTGGGGCTAGTGGATTTTGCTATCAGGCTAGTAAATTCTCTTCTTAACCTATGCAACAGGCAAATAAAGTTTTTGAAAGGACTGTAATCAATCCTGCCCATCAAAAAATATTTTCAGACTAGTTAAAATGACTTTTGGGCTAGTAAATACTAGCTACAGCTTGCCCAAAGAACACCATGTTATACTTTTTATGTTTCTTCTTCATCACTACTCCAAGAGTCTTGATAAGGATTATAACTCTTGCTTTCAGTACTTGAAGCAGCTACTGATGAAGTCCTTTCCTCTGTCATTCTGTTCAACTGTGGAAGCCATGCTAAAAGATTTGTGTCGTTAGCACCACTGAACACAGCTTGAAAATGCTGGTGAAAGATGCAGCAGTTAACATTGTTAAAATGACCATTCAGGGTGATTACATGCTTTCCTGTAACTACTTCAAATACTTCAATATTGCTTCCTGATGGAACAAAGACCACTTCACTTGATGTGCCACTTGACTGGCAAAGCTTGATGGCCTTGCGGCAAGGATTGTGGATGCGACCAAAATTAACAAGCGTGTTCTTCCCAGTAAAAGTATCCCACAGTCTTAAACGATCATCTGTTCCATAGGTCAATAAGTGTAGTCCATCACGAGAGAAAGAAATACCATTAACATGTCCATTATGAGCTGTGTTAATGGCAGATGCTCTGGATCCTCCTTTTCCGTTGTGTTGATCTAATGAAAGGATACTTCCGACAGCTTTTCTCACATCCCATAAAAGCACTTTATTGTCTCGGCTACCTGTTGCTAGAAAATATTCACTCCTGGGTGACCAAGCTACAGAAATAACTGCCTTTGAATGCCCCTTTAAAATATGAATTGCTGAGCCAGATTTCAAATCACAGAGATAAACTCTGGAATCCTCGCAAGCTGCTGCTGCTAAACAATGTTTCCTAGCATTTCTTGGCATTTGATGATGGTAGACTATTCCTTCNAAAAGATTTGTGTCGTTAGCACCACTGAACACAGCTTGAAAATGCTGGTGAAAGATGCAGCAGTTAACATTGTTAAAATGACCATTCAGGGTGATTACATGCTTTCCTGTAACTACTTCAAATACTTCAATATTGCTTCCTGATGGAACAAAGACCACTTCACTTGATGTGCCACTTGACTGGCAAAGCTTGATGGCCTTGCGGCAAGGATTGTGGATGCGACCAAAATTAACAAGCGTGTTCTTCCCAGTAAAAGTATCCCACAGTCTTAAACGATCATCTGTTCCATAGGTCAATAAGTGTAGTCCATCACGAGAGAAAGAAATACCATTAACATGTCCATTATGAGCTGTGTTAATGGCAGATGCTCTGGATCCTCCTTTTCCGTTGTGTTGATCTAATGAAAGGATACTTCCGACAGCTTTTCTCACATCCCATAAAAGCACTTTATTGTCTCGGCTACCTGTTGCTAGAAAATATTCACTCCTGGGTGACCAAGCTACAGAAATAACTGCCTTTGAATGCCCCTTTAAAATATGAATTGCTGAGCCAGATTTCAAATCACAGAGATAAACTCTGGAATCCTCGCAAGCTGCTGCTGCTAAACAATGTTTCCTAGCATTTCTTGGCATTTGATGATGGTAGACTATTCCTTCCAACTGAAAGCTCTCAACAACTTCAAGAGCGTTTGTATCCCATACCTTCAAAGTGTTATCAACCGAACTGGATAAAAACATTCCTGTGTCATTTGGGTACCACTGAACTGTCTCGACACTATGTTTGTGGCTGTCCTTCAAAGTTCTTTCCACGGTGGCAACTGAGTTACATTTGAAATGCTCACTGTAGAAGCAATCCTCTATGTCGTGAACAACTATTTTTCCATTGGAACTTGACGACAAAAGATATTTGCCTTCTCCAGTGTCGATATCAACGCAGTTAATACCAGATTTATGGACTTGTTCTACTTCGCCACGTTGACTCAATTTTATGGATCTTACTCGTTTACTTCGTTCACCTTTCGCGAAAAGGTGGGCCAAATGGGTCGACTGTTCTCTCAGGCGAAGAGAGCGATTCATTCTACTAAGAAAGTAATAAAATATTCCCTTAGATTACCAAAAGATCCAAAAGGAAATAAAAAATTGTAAACGAAGCAAAAACAAGCAGGCCAAATTATTTCGTCGAGGATAAAAGAGATCTGGGGACAGCTGGATGGCCAGGCCTTCACACTAGGCTTCACGAGGAACTGGTATCGAGTAAGAAATCAACATGGCGGACGGCGGATTTTATGTGGGTTTTTGTCTTTATTGAGGAAAACATGCCTCTGTCTTGTAAAATATGTGGGAACAAGGCTATTTTGAAGCGACCGAAAACGGTAAGATGGTTCATGATGCTATTGCAGTTGATCAAAGTTACTTTAATAAGAGGATTCTTTAGTTCGTAGTTTAAGCTTTTTGTGTGTCTTGGTCCTGATGGCGCAATAATTGCAACTTAAACAAAAATCTGTGTCCTTTTTTCAGTGTAATTAAGTAAAACTTCAAAAGGCCCTCGAATCTTGTTCTGAAGCGTAACTGTTTAGTTTTTATCTTGCGTAGTACAATCCTCTGATTTTGTGGTACTTTTAAATGTGTTGTTAAGCGGAGTTGATAGATTTGACACTGTTTGTTTTACAATGGGCTATTGCATTTAACTCACCTGTCAGTGTAATCCGTGGGGGGGGGGGGGGGGGGGGGGGGGGGGTGACAAAGGAAGTTGGCCCGTGGTGAGGACTTTTGATTATCGCCAAGTCGCGGGGGTGGGAACTTTTTGAATTTCATCCAATTACGGACGCCATCTTGGATTGGAAGCTGTTAAAGACCTGGTTACCAGTCAGTTAACAGTTGCAATACCTCGCCCAAGTTGTTTAAAATGTGGATAGCGCTATCCACGGGATAAATCACTATCCACTGGATGAATATTAGGGGAGCCAATTGCACTATCCAGTGGATAGAGATTTATCAGGTGGATAGCGCTATCTACCATTTGAACAACTGGAGCCAGGGGGATAGGTAACCAAAGATATTGTGCAAGATGGCAGTTTTATTCTCTCTATTCTTATTCAAATGAATACATCCATTCATTTACATTTTTTTGGGGGGAAGTTAGAATCTTATTCAGTATGACTGCATGATATAAACATTTTGCCCGAGTTTGAAAGCAAGTATGTTGAAAATTTGCTTGTTTACCAGCCGCAAATTTGTTAAACTGTGTGGCTGGAAAACATTCCTTCGTGATGCTGG